ATAGCCACTGTGCGAATCTTTCTGTGGGCAGTGGTAAGTTTCCTGTTGTGAGCCAACTGATCACATTTTATTTTTATCTGACAGGTAGGTATACATTCAGCAGGTTTAACAGAAGCACCACTGCAATATATGAGTCATTTCGAGGGGTGTTAGCCTCTGAACTTCGAGTTCCTAATGTTTGACATGTAAGCTCACCTCGCCACCATCATCACCCATCTCCTCTCCTTCTCTTTGAATGCCTCCACAAAGCAGAAAATGATATTGGAAATGATCATTACTGTGATGCCGCAAATAAGCGGTTGACGCACTGAAAAACCGGGAGTTAGACGAGCTCCTATCGAGTGTCGTTTGACCACCTCTTAGGCTGCGTTTATACTTTGCGGCAGAGTCCATCAGCGTCTACAAGACCGGGAGCAGAGAGTATGAGGAAGTAGGAGGGTAGCAAACAGCTGGATCAGGCGTCGTGAAATTGCGGCGTGTGCAACCGCACCGCACAACTGCTAAAGCACAGAATTATGCAATTTAATGTACGGTGTAGTGTAGTTGTACGGTGCGTTGCACACGCCGCAATTTCACGACGCCTAATCCAGCTGTTTGCTACCCTCCTACTTCCCCATACTCTCTACTCCCGGTCGCTGGTGAACGCTGGCAGACGCTAGATCGATATCTATACTTTCCTAGTCGCTGACGCTGCCGGACGCTCGGAACGCTGGTGGACGCTATTGGCTCGCTGGTGGACGCTGAAGTATGAACGCAGCCTTAAGCAATTCAGCATCTACACCGAACAAGACTGTAAATGCTACAGTTGGAGGAATAACTCTAATTAAGGTCTTATCACCACTGATCGTGATTCCTGGTGGCACTTCAAAATAAACAATGCCAATATTTGATAAACGTAAAGGGACTTCAGGGAACAATACATTAACAAACAGGTAACTAAATAGAACAAGCAGTATACCGACCAGATCTTGAACGATTCATCCAGTAACCGAAAGCTGGAGATGCGAGACCCTGTCCAACAGAGAACGCGGCTGTGATGATGCCAAAAAACGTCTCCGAAGCTGTGGGATCCACCTTAATGTCGTGGTAGCTCCGGTATTTCTCATGACAGTGGAGAACACGGTACCTGATTTAGGAACGGCCATAACGTAGGGAAAAATATTGAAAACTGAACACCGCAGAACATGCAGATAGCAGTCAATAGATAGATGGACCTCCACGAAGTCTCCTTTTCCGGGACCACCCTAAATGCCTTTGGTGAGAAAGAAAGAAAAATACACTGTAGTTCGCTGCGGACGGTGGGGCGTGTCAAGCCAGAATGAGTGTGCCCAGCAAGCGAACGAAAAGCGTTCTCTGCCTTTTGTTGAAGCGCGCATGCGACAAAAAGTGGTAGAAAACGAGTAATACGAACGATATGATACAGCATTGTCACTTGCTCGCTTCAACAACTGGTGGAGAACGAGTTTGGCACCGCGCCAAACGCAGCCGCACTGACACGCCCAACCGTCCGCAGAGAACTACACTATATTCATGGAGAAGAAAATTTATTGAAATTTATTACGAGCGTCGATGTGTTTCGTCATGAACCTTGGTGAAAGATATCTCGAAAACCAACTGCCTTACTTTTCATCTTTCTTTTCTGCTATGCTGGCAGAGATGCTCTTCACCGTCGGTGCTCGCGACCGATGCACTTTGCCTTGTGCCGAACCAATTGACGCTGTCATCCAAACACTGAAAGCTATATCGTCTACACCATCTTCAGATCAGCTACCATGTTAGAGAAGAAGTGATGAATGCCTCCCTCAAAGTTCCTTCAGGAAGATGGTGACAGAGGTCAAAGGCATAAGGCACGGTACCTTGGTTCTTGCTCGGAAATAGAAGCAAGGTTGCTGCCTACATAGTGACAAAATGGCGAAAAAGCAAAGTTAAATGGCCAAAAACGTGAGAAAAACCTTTGTTCTGCACGGCACTTTGCGAGCACTTTTAGACGAGTTTCCCGTTGGCATCGCGCCAATAACCGCTTTGATAGTTACGGTTACATGTATTTATTCATATATCCACGTAGCAATGCTTCGTTTCGACTGTACTTCATGAAATGAGACTATAAGAGTACAGCGTCGATGAGGACCTGTGGGCGGGTGGTTGCGATGGGCGTCTGGGTCGGCATATTGCACCCTGGTTAGGCAAATAACGGCCGTCTTAAGTTGGAGAAGGCGCCTTGCAGCGCCTGCTCAAGAGTGCCGAATTTCGTCGTGCCTAAGGATGCTCGTCCTACACATCTTGGGGATCTATCGTGCCACATGACTTTAAACTTCTTTGTAACCGATTCGATCACGCCTGATTCTAAAGAATGCCGTTCTCTAACAATCTTCGCTATTTCTCCTACGGGAGCGCCGAAATTACCTGTGACTGACTTTTATCACACAATTCAGGAACTTCTTTGGAGTTTCATCGAATTTAGCTGGCGAGAATACATTCGAGCAATCATTCCCATGCGCACGTTCGTTGACGAGATAAGAAGAAAACAAAACGTATTCCTTCGCGAGTAAGCACAGAGCGAATAACTGGGAAGGTGTAGCATTAGGTCCCATGGTTGGCATAGCTCGGCTGCCGTGGTAGAGGTAGGAGTTTGGTCGTAAGATTTTATACAGAAGAGTTCTTGCTTCACTGAATAATCCCCTCTGGCTTAGTCATGAGCACAGTACGCCGCATCTTGGTGATCCCAGCTGGAGGTCGTATTCGGTAGCTGGAAGGAGGGGGTAATTATTGCCTCCAGTGTCTCTTACCGGCCTCGCTCGATGGCCGTTTTCGGAAAAGCCCGAAAAGTTTCCGAGAACTGGGAAAAGAGGTTACAGGTAGTAGGGGAAGTACATTGAGAAAGATTTTGCAAGAGGAGAAAATTTTTATCGGGGGAGGCGGTAGTATTTTGCACAGAGTTCTCCAACAATGGCAGGACGTGCTCTTATTTATCATTAGACAGCATGAGGAACAACCATAAATGTATTCAAAAAAACTGAGACGGTTTGAGATGAGCCAAAATTTTTTAAAACCATCGCCTATTTCGCTCGTTCCGGCAGAACTAGTCATGGTCACTGCCCTTAGAATTAATGCACACCATACTAGCCTAACACACCTTGGAACAGCTTAAGTGATTACAGTACTGTTACCCTAACGGGAACCCCACGCCTTGAAGGAGAACCATTTTTCTTTGACCCACACCAGCTCTCTAGTTACAAGAGAACGTATTGTGAACACTGGATAAAGACAGGAAACTACTCTACATTGACCAGTTTGGTTAGTGAGCGGGTGAAATGTAGAGTGTCACGTTTATCGTCATTATTTTTTACTTATGGTGACAGCCTTCTTATCTTCAAGACTCACAACATTTTCTTTTCCATCAGAGTTTCTATCTATTGACTATTTTCTCACCATCTATTGCTTATTTTGCCTTTTTTCTATTTTTTCATCTCTCACATGTTGAGGCGGAGGTGTGGTAGTGGCAAGTGGCACGCTTGCCTCCCGCACGGTCCGTGGATCGAATATGTACTGGATCGGTGCCCGCCCGGACCAACCAAGCCTTCTCCCTTCCGGAAAACGATAAATTGGTACCAGGTTCTCTGGGAGGGTAAAACACTGGCTTGCACATCGGCACCTGAAATCGTTTAGATGCGAAGTGTTCTGATAGTTATGCATTCCATGTATATTCCTAGCTGGATTTTCCCTTTTTGCGGAGGTAAATATCTACTTGGCAGCAGGCAGACATCGTATTCAAGCATTCTTGAGAGGTTCCCCTAACTGCGAATCGATGCCAGAGAATCCGACACGGGTCAAATCGGACGAAATTATCGCCAAATTTATGGTCGAGCCTATAACCT